CGCCGGGACACGTTGACCCGGCTGGGTATAAACCGGGTATACGCCGTGTAATACCATGACGACGAGAGAGAGTAGGCTCCGCGGAGTGTTCCGGTATAAATCATGCGTGACTTAACTCGCTTTTGGCGTATATCGGGCGGTGAGAAAAAGGTAAAAAAGATAGAGAGAAGGAGAGAGAGAGAGGGGGAGAAGGGAGGGGGGGGGGGGGAAAAAGGGAAAAAAAGGNGGGGGAGAAAAAGGGTAAAAAAGGGAGACGGACCGAGCAACTCCGTAATTCCGTACGAACCACCGAAAACGTTGCAGTCTGACGTCAGATATACATACTCCCAATAGGAAGAGAAAGCCGTGATTAATTCTCCGGCGAGAGTACTTTTCTCTGAAAAACGACTGCGTTCCATCTCCTAGCTCTGGAAACTGTTAGTTCTCTTTCGCGTTGCCCGATTCGTGTGTGTATCGGTTTGTGCGCGAAACCAATAAAACGCTCCTCTGTATACACGGTGTCCAACTTTCGGGCGTTTTCTTTTATGTACCGGTTCTTTTTGTCGAGAGGTGGCTTTTAACCGAAATGCCGGGACACTATTAGTTTCTGAAACGCAGGCTTTTGAAACCCGATCGGAGATGCAGAGATTTTTACGAACCGACCTTTTCCTCTGCGCGAACGATTAACGAGATCGTATTCCTGTATAATTTCGAGCTAAAGTCGCTCCAAGAGAATTTTAACTTCAGAACTAGTTGCAGAAGTACATATTTAAAGTTCAATATCAAAAGTTAGCTTCTGGAGCTCAACTTTCTGCGAGATCGTTCTCAATTTGTTCGAAGAATCTGCAAATAAAAGTTTGGCGAATCTAAGACACCTCGTATAGGAGCACCGATGATCCCGCCCCCATTTTTTGTCCTAATCGTAACATTATCTACGGGCCATAGCGCACTTTTTGCAGATCGCATTTCGCATCTCCGCCGTTGGGTGAGAAATTCGTACACTTTCGGGCAATTTCCTCACTACTATAAATCAACGTCGACGTCGTCGAGTTTATCGCGTGTACGTTGAGCGTTGTCGATGTCGAACATTCTTCGCACCTTTTTCGCCATGGTTTCATTATAGCGAAAAATATAAATCAATAAGATTTACAGGCGAAGTCGTTGCATGTTACAACGAGCGACGCGTCATTGATACCCCAATATTTCGAGATTGACGGCAAGCTTGTCCGGATGTTGGCAGAATCTCGGAAAACGTTTCGAACTGTGTCAGATTTTTTTTGGCGAGTGGAGCGATAGATTTCCACGCTAGTTGCACGTCTTTATTAGCGCGTGTCGTTGAACACTTTGAAATTAAAGCATCGAGAGAATGATATAATCTGCTTTATAGAAGAACACTGATGTGTGTGATGTGAAATAAGCATAATATTAGCAATACACGCAATAGTTTTGTCAATTTTTCACTATTTTCCTTATTCGAGTTTGAATAATTTGATAGGATATTAATAGCAAGTTAATATTAAGTCGAAAATCCTATACCCCAAAATTAGAAAATCACTCACGATGTCGCTATAATAAGAAAGTTCGCGCATAGTCTGAAGCTTTAATTATAGAATTTCTCCAAAAGACCGTTTCATTCTCTCGTATTTTAAAGCATACTCTTAGTCGCTGAGAGATCCATATCATTCTCGGCGCTTCAATTAAACGCTAAGAGGATAAAAATTGCTCGCGCGAGAAGGTGTTTGTTTCATACTTCGCCGTCCCGATTCATTCCGGGCGTATAATCGCGTCGACGCTTCAGCCTGGGAGAGCGAGCGCGAGGTCGCTTTTAAACTGAAACAAAAGCTACTTCATCGGGTCGAGTAAACGTTTCCAGCGTAATGCCCGGCCAAACCATTGTGCCGATAGCGTTTTTTCGAGACGGGAAACGATGTTTTCTTTCCGCTCGCGAGCTTGCATTAACCTCGCGTACCGGTTCTCTCCTTCGAGAAGAGCGGGATCGATAAGCGTGAAGCCTGGCACATATGTTCTAACTAAATTCGGAGATACGTGCGCCCGATGTTGCTTCTCATGCGTATACATGTAGACACCGAGTTCCCGGCAACAATGGCAGCACCACGTCGCTGCGCGGACCGTGATGTTTAAATGCAGGCGTTTTGCATCGCGGATATTCGCATTTATAGATATCAGCCCGCGCTCGCTCTGGTAGTCGACGTTTCAACGAGGCTGAATATTGTAACTGTAGAAAATGGAACGAAAAAGCCCGTCGCGAATGTACACGCGTACCACCGGCCACTCGGCGACTCGGATAAATAGACCGTCGCGCGGCCAAATGTTTTCGAAAACGTTGCGTTTTTGCACGACGAATAAAGTCGCGGATTTCGTTTCCGCGGAAGGCACTCGCGTGCAGAAATGGAGGGTCATCCATACACGCGCGGCTCACCATTAAAGAGGCGTGCACGTTCACGCGCTCTCGTCCGAGTGTGCGTGCTTAGTGGAGGGTTGGCATAGTACGATGCGATCGAGTATCGTACGAGGCGATGACTCAGCTCGCCAACCCCCGTAAGACAGGGGACCATTATGCCAGGTACCCTTTTCAGCGCTGCGAGCGAAAGCAGCGCCCATAAAAGCAGCGTAACGCCGATTGCCGTGATATATTTTTATCGAACATGAGGAGAGTTACGAAAGATCGGTCGCGCGATATTAATTCTCGCATTTGATCGATCGATATGTTCTTCCTTGAGCTAAGTCGTCTTTTCTTTTTTCTTTCGATATTCCAATCTGACAGATTAAGTGGAAGAGGGAAATATCAACGATATATTCAAAATCTAGCGGGAATCTCTTGAGAGCGTTTAATTACTTGCATTCACTTTCGACGATTTTTCTCAACTATAAACGGCATAAAGAAATCACACCTCGTTGTTTCGCATGCATTTTTATTCTCGCCAAAATGATCTGATCGAGAATCTTCCAGATCCTTTCTTCCAAAACAGCCTGAACGATTTAAGCCGCGTCCCAACGTAAATTCCGCGACAGATTACATCGCCGTAATTTTTTTCAACCAACGTCCTTTATTTAGGCTATCTTGCTAGATGATCGCCCGCTCGGCATCGCATGATCCGCAAAATCCGTTCCGCCAGAATCCAATTTCGATGCGAATTCGGGTGAATGGGGCATCGGAGATTAAGGGCGGTCCGCAGAAATGGATGGTGCACATGCTGCTAGGATGGTAGGTAGGCTAATAAGAGGGAGCAAAGACGCCCTCGCGTCGCTCGGCAAGGTCTCGGCAAGGGGAGATACGGCCCCTCGTGCACCGAGATGGGGTGACGTCATAGGGGTGGCTCGCGGAACGAGAGGGGTGGGGTGTGTGTAATTTCCCCGTGGACGATGGCGTCAGGGCGTGCGGTGCCGATCGGGCCGAGGGTCGTTCAACCATCAGTGTTGTCTCGTGTCTCGTGCAGCGTGTCGTACTTCTGTTCTCTCGTGCTCGTGAACGTGCTGTACTTGTGGTCGTTTAGTTTAGGAACATAGTCTTAGGTGAAGCGACCGATCGCCACGGCCACCTACGTGCATCGGCGGAAAGTGATACCACCACCGTGCGCGATATAGGCGGCGATAAACTGGGTCTCGGAAACTGGAATATACACGAAATTAAGGATTAAGGGGGAGGGGTTCGAGGCTTTCCGACGGCTGCGCGTACGTGGTGACAGTTCTTCCGTAAGTCATCGGTCTCAGGCGTTGGAAAGAAAAAAAGAAATAACTGCCGCGCGTTCGACCGGATACCGTTGGATTTTGCCGTGAAGGCTCGCGGTGACATTTGAACGGACGCGAGAACGTGTCGGTGTTGTATGCGTGTGGTCTCGTGATCGGTGTGTCTGTGATCGTTAGCGTTCTTTGTTATCGGATACATTCGCGAACGTCCGAGTCGGAGGCGTTAAGCGCTCCTGAAAATTGCACAAGACAAAACCCTCCGATACGCGCCGAGTGATATTGACACCGTTTCTCACCGGATGATTTCCTGCGTGGTGTCGCGCAACTGGTGCTTATGCGCATGCGCGCATGTGAAATCGTCTATCCGTAAGCTCCGATCAGCTGTAAGCAAATGCGTGAATGTTAGAGTGAAGTGCACACACTTCGCACACCGTTCGACATAGTCATAACGGAATAAAGGCGCCATCGATAACGGTTTAAGCGACGATAAATGCGCGCGGCAACATCAATCACTCGTTCGTATATCGGCGCCTTTTATTTTTTACCATTCCACATTGATTCATAGCGCGCTCGGGCGTGTATATCATCGCGTATCTAATTTCCACGAGAGAGACGCATCTTCGACGCCCGATTATCTCGTTATTCGCGCCGCGAATTTCGTTAGTTGTCGCGCGCACGCGCACGTTATTGCGTTGGATTTCCTTCCGTCCGTTTTCCTCCCCCCCGGCCGTCTTCTCCATCCTCGTCCAGGTATTTGCTTTATCGTGCGCTCGCCGCATTAGCCGCTTTTCCACCCTCTTCACGATCATCCTATATCTCGCTTCTTCGTTTTCCATCTTCTCCTGCCGTCTTTACCTTCCGCTATCCTCGCCTTCTCTCTCATCCTGTTTTCCGTTCCTACGAAGATTACGCTATCGTGTGTTTTTTATCGGGTTCCTGATTAAAACCGCGGACCACCCTCCCGGACAGCTCCTCGCCGCTTCGTGACTGCCATTTTCGGCGAATTTTCACGACAACCCTCCGGTCCCTCGAAAACGAGAGTTAACGAGTACCTCCGTGACGGCCGATCTCCCCCTCACGTGTCAAGTACTCACTGACTCCGTCGTGGTCGTGCTTTATGCGCGTGGCGATAAGTAATCTACGAGCTCTACGTTGCTCGAGACGCTATCGCAGTGACCGGTCCCGTCTTCGAAGGTGAGCGGGAAAAGGACGAAACCGTCCCAGCGCGTCGAGAAGCACTCGAGATACAGTGCGCCGCGTACAGTAGCACGATAGTATTAGTGGGCTCTGTGAAAGATCGTTCGAGCTAAGAAATGCTGATACCCGTGTCGACATCGCCCTCGTCTAGCAACGGCGATGGCGCCATCAAGCTTTTCGTCGGACAGATACCGCGTCATCTCGAAGAGGATGCTCTCCGTCCAATGTTCGAGGAGTTCGGCAAGATTTACGAATTCACCGTCCTCAAGGATAAGTACACGGGCATGCACAAGGGTAAGGATTCAACGTGAGACGTAAAATTCTAAAGGAGTTGTAACAAAGGGTTGTGAAGGTTAAGGGAAAGACTCTTTTTTTTTTTTGTTGCACTGGTCTCTTTTTTTGTCAAATTTCTGCCACGGATTCACGTGCAGATTCGCCCCACGGCAAAGATTAAAGCGAGCTTTCCGAGAGGAATATATTAGCGATAAAACTGTGCGCTGGCATTTTTGTGCAAATTTTCAAGTTAGTCCCCTCTAGCGCAGCCACTCAAACGTCAGGCGGAGAAACTGTTAGGGCGCCCGCGAAAATGTCGTTTAGCGGAGGCACGATGTCGCGCGCTAACGCGATGAAATTATTTTCACGAAGCGCCGCAGTCGCCGGCCACTAAATCCAAGCGGCCGCGCGCGCTCATTAATTTTTCAGCCGCGGAAGGACACGCAGAACTCGTTGCGTCGAGTGAAGTGTAATTCCGGCGGTAACGACGAAGCGAAAGTGCGCTCGCTCAGCCGGCCGCGCGAGCGAACGCACCCTTGGCTTTCGAAACGCGCGACCGGGAGATTAATCAGGATTTATTCTTTTGTCCCCCCGCGACGTGGTGTATGGCGTCCGGGGCCGCGGTCAGGGTCGGGACGCGAAGAGCTCCCACTGTAGAGAAGGGAAGTCACGGAAGGGATCGTGCGAGAGCGTGCTAAGCCGCGGCGAAACAATAAATTTCGCGGGCATTCACGTCGATCGCCGAGAGGATGAGCCGACGTCGACGATCGACGGCCTTTGTTGGCCGACCGTAAGCCGCCGCGCGCGCCCACGCCGCCCCGCAGCTCCCGAGCGACGCAGCATCCAGACGCCGACGAACCTGATACAATGAGACAGCGCTCGCGGACGCGTTTCGGGCTGTTTCCGCGGCGGAAACTTGTCCCGGAAACGGGGACTTTAACACCGACGTGCCCAGCCTCTTCTCAGCGACGCGCTATCCAACGCCACCATTCGATCCCCGGTGCTCGAATTACGACGGGAGCGCGTTACGCGATACCTCGGCTATGGACGGCGGGAAGGGCTGGAGACGAGAGTGACACGCGCAAAAGAGAGCAGAAGTCGAGAAGAAAAGCTTTGCCGTCGCGCGGCCATGGTTGGGATTTTAGAGGGGATATTTGGAAAAATGAGACAACGCTCCCCGAGACCGGTCGGGGGATCGTCTTCATGAATTGTGCATCAGTCGGAGAGCCGAGCGGATCCCGCGTGGAATTTCGGTCCCGACGGTCGCTTCGTTATTCCGCAGCCGATTTTGTAATGGAGAAGTCATGTTATTCGATACTTATCAATAATGGAGGACGCGGGCGCGCGATATCTAGGCGAAAATTTCAAGCGCTAGTTGTCCACACGGCCGTATAAAGCTTGAGCTTAAACGTTGAGCGCGGCGGCCCCGCGTCGCATAAAATCCGCGGTTAGAAATTCGCTGGCTCTGAAAATAACGGACTTTCCCCGGGCTCTGGAAGCGCCGACGTTACCCTTCGGCGGCCTTCGTTTATTTAATTTGCAGGAAAAATGGCCGCAATCCGCTTGCCTGACCGTGGCCGAGCATGGCGCCGGACGGGAAAAACGTAGGTATTTTACAATAAATATCCGGCCGATAAGCTGCACACAATCCCGGCACACCATGGAGGGGGAGGAGGGAGGGAGAGTCGAGCGCATTTTTATTTTTGTAGGCACGCGGAATTTATGGTTGACGAATGGTCGTTCGAGTTTTTGCCTGGAAATAGCTCGTTAATCTTTCGAATTATCCTCCCTTCCAACTTCGCCGTGCAGCGCGGCGGCGTCCGCGACTCAACGATTTTCCGTTGTTGCCGAGGGAAATACCGCGAGGGAAATTCTGTATTCCGGACACGTGTGTTCGTAAAGTTTCGTTAAGATGCCAGATATTTTCGGTAACGCGAAACCGGTGATTCCGTATGCCGTTCGTTCGTAAAGCGACTTCCACCGAAACGATAAATACAAGGGAGGCCGAGTAATTAAAATTACACGCGCATTGCTTCGTGAATATCGTGTCTGTAAATGGACAGGCGATTTGTAACCGCGCGTATTAAGCGGAGCGTAACGACTTTGTAAAATTGAAGAGCGTCGGTTGGAAATTAACCTAATATTACAGGACACGCTTGCGCGCGTAGCGACGATTAGGTCGCAGAGTAAATTTTTAACGGGTACTTTTCGATTGTCACGACGTATTTTTGCTTGGGAACATATTGCCGTCCTGCCGTGTATCGATCTGGCTCACGTTTGGTGAAACAAACGGCGGGCAAGAGGAATGATTTTATCAACGTCGAATCAAATGCATTCGCTCGCATTGACGCACGTCCACTAAATCAAATAATCCGTGTGTACATATATCATGCGCGCCGGACTTAAATCTATATCGATACGAACCGACTGCGCAGCCTCAGTAATCTGAGGAATTTGGCGCTGCAACATTATGAAGTTGTCGAGATATTTATCACGAAGAGAACAATGAAGTTGCTCATATTGCAACAACAGCTGCCGAAATAATTATATATTCGCCCTAAAACTGGAACGCGAGACAAGTCAGTAACTCAATTGACAGCATCTCATTTTGGGGGGGATCTTTGCATTCTGTGAAATATCGCGAATAGAGCAATAATCTCAGTACAACTCGCATATCTGAGCAAAGACGGAAATGTATAAACTGTATTTTTTCATGTAGATCCAAACTCGACAATTTAATCATCGCCAATTGAACCTCATCTGCAACCTTTCTAACGAGCACCGTCTCGCGCGATCATGGAGATCGTCGTGCCGCGTGACGCGCAGCACAGTTTTTCCTTAACAGTCGTCTGCAAGCGGCGCGGAAAAAAGTTTCTTTTTGTTCGAAGCTTTCACGGGACACTGTAACGCGAAGGTAGGAGGACACGAAAGGACGAGAGAGGTGGTGGGCCCGAGTTAGGGAAAGGTAATGCTCGACGGTGACGAGGCTGCAACCGACACGGCAGACTCGTAGTTTCGAAACAGCTCTCCAATTTTAATGAGACCCGTCTATTTCCCCACGATTCTGTCTCCGTGTTACGGCTTACCTTTGTGTAATTATATTTTGATTCCCCTAGCTGCGCGCCGCGTCTCTTCCCGTTCGCCTGTTTCTCTCGCCTCTTACCGTCCGCGCCTCATCCGACCGGCTGCGGATATCAGCTTCCTTTTCCTCTTCCTCCTCAATTGCAACGTTATCAATTTATGGTTCTGCCCGTTGCCTCTTTTTTTTTTTTTTTTTTTTTTTTTTTNTTCATTACATAACTCGTGTCGTCTCGGATGCACACGAGCGTCGGTGAGCGAGCGTTACGTTCGTCCCGTAACGACGTGTCGGCAATCGTTCGCGTTCGAAGACACAGTGACCTACCCTTCGGTCTGCTTTAGCTTTCTCTCCCTCGCTTTCCTCGGTAGCGCGTTTGTCCCTCCGGATTGAATTACGACTCGAGGCGAATAAAAAAAAACTCGCGCGCTCCACCGGCGGGAATCCGTTTTGCATCTTCTTTATTCCGGCTGCCCGCTCCATTGGCCGCCACTTCGGCATCTGTACTTAATTACTGGGTAGTTACGATACTTCGGTGACTTCCCGTCGTCGGTATTCGAGAGGCGTTCCCGCTGTCTCTGTTCTCCCTTGTCCCGAGGCCAGCGTTGCTCCACGTACTAATGAGCTGAATTGTACCTTCGAAGCCGCGTTAGGAAATCATTCAGTTGTTTCGCTACAATCACGGATATCCGCGCGATTCGAATTGCTCGCGATTTGTCAATCGAGCCCGCGGATCTCCGCGGACGTCAAACAAAATCACGGGCTGGACTGGGCTTGAGTCGCGCCACGATGCTTTTCCTACGACCTGCTGTGGGACGCGAAAGGAGAAGGAAGGAAAGCCGCCGCGGCTCCTCGTCTCGGTCGGTCAATAATGAGAAAGTAGAGAGAGAAAGAGAGTGTAACGGGCGATTCGAGGAGCGGACAAAACGGCCGCATTTTCTTTCAATTGCGAGCATTTGCCCGTCCACCGGAGGATTTAAAGAGGGCGCGTTCAATTCGCGCGCGCACACACATATATGTATATATAGTATATCGATTCGAGTGATAACTACGAGTTTAACTCTCGCGAACGGTTTGCTCGTTTCAGCGTATTTAACAGCCGAGCGTACCAGAGGGCTCAGCTGCCAGGGTGGTTGGCACATGGGGACTATGGCACACGCCATTACAATGGCAACCAACCCCACCACCGACCTTTCCGCAATCTCCCTTCTCTCTCTCTCCCCTATCTGTCTCTTTCTTCCTCTTTCTCTCTTTCGCTCTCTCACACCCACTCTCTGCTGTCACCCTCTCGCTCTCGCGCGTCCTCTCTCTCTCTCTCTCGTCCTCTCGACGCGAGGTGCACGAGGGCTGTCCGTCCGTCGGTCTCTCCCGTCGCGTGCACGGACGTATGTTATCCTACTTTTTTGCCGCAGGCTCTCTACATCCGTCTCTTTTTCCGTCCCGTCCGACGGATCGATCGAGTGCATACATCGCACTCGCGCTCATTGGGAATTGGTGGGATCTACGACGATGTGTGTTGGTGTTCACGATGAAACGTTGTATTCGCTTGTCGCGTGAAAAATCTGTCGGCGATAGTCTTTGCACGGCTCGAAACGACGCCTGTCGTTACGAGCGGCGATGCGCGGAATAGCGTGTGGCATAAGTATTGTGATCGGACGGGTTCTCATTATATCCCGCGACTTCAAGTTGCTCTGCAAACCGCAAGAATCGCTCCCACACTGGACGTTGACTGCGAGATGATGGGGGAAATTTTCTATACCTTTGCATCTGTATTTCAATTTCTTTCTACGCATATTTAAAGGTACTTAATAATTAGTGTTATTTGATATTTTTATTAAATAGCGAAAATGCTTCGTGAACACACAGATCCGCACAGCGGACCTAACGAAATGGCCGATTTCTCGCAATATTACGTTATTATATTTTTCCACATTCCTTGGTCACC